TCCAAGTAGCCGGAATTACAGGCGTGCACTACCATGCCCGGCTGATTTTTTGATTTATTGTAGAGATGAGGTCTTGCTGCTCAGGCGGGTCTTGAACCTGCGGGCTCAGGCAATCCATTTACCTCAGCCTCCCAAAGGCGCAGGATTACAGGCTGAGCCACCGAGCCCGACCCTTTTCTTTTTTTTTAATTTTTAAATTTTATTTTAATTCCTTTCATTTATTTGTGTGTGTGTGTGTGTATTGGAGTCTCACTCTGTCACCCAGGCTGGAATGCAGTGGCATACTCATGGCCACCGCAACCTTGACCTGCTGGGCTCAGGTGATCCTTCCACCTCAGTCTTCCAAGTAGCTGAAACTACAGGCACATGCTACCATGCCCGACTTATTTTTTGACTTACTGTAGAGACAAGGTCTCACCAAGTTGCCCAGGTTGGTCTCAAACCCCTGAGCTTAAGCAATCCTCTCATATCAGCCACCCAAAGTGCTAGGATTACAGGCTTGAGCCCACCTTGCCCATCAGTTTTATAAATTTTATTTTAAAGGTGTGGGGTACAGTACAGGATTAGGTATACAAATGTTCATTGTACAGGTAAAGTTTGGACCTCCCTTTGACCCCCACTTTGCCTGGTTGAGATCAGGTTGGTCATCCCTTTTCAATACTAGTTCAGTTAGGTCATGAGTGCACCTTTGTAATTGCTTCAATTCTGTTATTTCTCTTCTGACACTTTTTTGGGGGTGGGGGTTGGAGTTTCACTTCATCACCTAGGCTGGAGTGCAGTGATACACATGCTCACAGCCACCCCAGCATTGACCTGCTGGGCTCAGGCGATCCTTCCATCTCAGCCGTCCAAGTAGCCAGAACTACAGGTGCACGCTACCACACCCAGCTTATTTTTTGATTTTTTTTAAGTTGTAGACATGAGGTCTTGCTAAGTTGCCCATGTGGGTCTCATACATGTGGGCTCAGGCAATCCCCTCACCTCGGTCTCCCAAGGTGCTGGGATTACAGTCTTGAGCCACTGCACCCAGCATTTTCTTAAAAAAATTATTTATTGTAGAGATTAGGTCTCGCCAAGTTACCCAGGCTGGTATCAAACCCATTGGCTCAGGCAGTCCTCTCGCCTCGGCCCCCCAAAGCGCTGGGATTATAGGCATGAGCCACTGTGCCTGGCTGAGACTGTCACTTTAGTTTTTTGTTTTGTTTTGTTTGTTTGTTTGAGTCAGAGTCTTACTCTATCAGGCGGGAGTGCAGTGGCACTCTCACGGCCACCACAGCCTCGACCTGCTGGGCTCAGGCAATCCTTCCGCTTCAGCCTTCCAAGTAGCTGGAACTACAAGCATGCACCGCCATGCCCAGCTAATTTTCTTTTTTGATTTATTGTAGAGATGAGGTCTTGCCAAGTTACTCAGGCTGGTCTCAAACCCACAGGCTCAACAATCCTCTCACCTCAGCCTCCCAAAATGCTAGGATTACAGGCATGAGCCTATACTTTTTAGTACAGCTAATTTCTAGAAATGTTCATCATGCTGTCCAGATTTGGGATGTGGGGAGGGTATTTGTTGAAATTTTCTCATCTCTGGTGTTCTGTTTCTGCGGCTAGTAACTCACAGGTGTGATGAATCTCTTTCTTTCTTTTTCCTTTTTGAGACAGGGTCTCGCTCTGTTGCTTAGTCTGGAATGCAGTGGCATGATCACAGCACACTGCAGCCTTGAACTCCTGGTCTGAAGCGATCCTCCCATCTAAGCCTCCCCAATAGTTAGGATTACAGGCATAAACCATGGCAGCCAGTCAAGTCTCTTTCTTTTACATTTTTAGTTTTAACCATCTGTCTACTTTTCCTACATTTTAAGACTTTCTTTTGTTCCTGCTAGTCAGCCTCTTTTGGCCTTTTTTGTAAGTAGTCTACCTTCTTAATGTCATCAGCATTTGTTTGTAGAGGCACTGGGTTCCTAGAATTGAGCCTATTTCCTGGACTCTTACATGGTTATTAGTCCTTATTCTTTGTTTTTGTCCCTTGATGGATCCCCCATGAAGCACTGCTTCTCTGGCAAATGAGGCCTCTGTAAATGGGGCCCTCAGAAATCATAAAGAGTGACAGGGTAGCCTCAAACACTCCAACCTCATTCTGCTGCTTGACTTTCCTAATATGTGTCTGATCATGTCATCTACCTTGTCAGAAACCTCAGTGGCTTCTGGCTACCAAATGACTATCCACACTCCTTTGCTTGCCATTCAAGCCTTCGGTCTACATTTCTAATTTTGTCTCCTGTTGTTTTCTATCTATACTGAAGACTTAGTGCTCTGCAGGCAGGCCCTGTGCTTTCTGGACCTGTACTTATATGTTTGCTGGTGCCTGAAACACTGTTTCTCTTCTTTGTTTCTTTCAGTAGCTGCATTTCCAAATCCTACCCATCTAAGGGTTAGCTCAGTTACTACTTATTTTATGATATTTTCTGTTGACCTCATCTAGATATACCACGGAATCAGAATTTTTGGACTAGAAGGGACTTGGAGCTCATCTGGTCCACTCTTCTCATTTTGCAGAAGAGAAAATCGATTCCAGGGTCACTCAATCACATGTATATTCTTTCTACCCTTGAACTCCCACAGCCCTATGCTTGTCCTCTTCATTTGCCTTTTGGAGTCTCCGTGGTCTTACTAGTCAGTATGTCTACCCCTTTCACTAGTTTATAAACTCCTTGAAGGTAAGAACTACACCTTTGTCATCTTTACATTTCACTTCCTGGAGTTCACATGCAATACCTTCTTATTCAACTCTATTGAATATTTGGTTTATGTAAGATCATGTCTTGTTTGTTTTTTTTTGTTTTTTTTTGTTTTTTTGAGTCAGAGTCTTACTCTGTCACCCAGGCTGAAGTGCAGTGGCATGCTCATGGCCACTACATCCTTGACCTGCTGGGCTCAGGCAATCCTTCCATCTTAGCTTTCCAAGTAGCTGGAACCACAGGCGTGCACTACCATGCCCAGCTAATTTTTTTATTTTATTGTAGAGACAAGGTCTTGCCAAGTGGCCCAGGCTGATCTCGAACCCATGGGCTCAGACCATCTTCTCGCCTCTGCCTCCCAAAGTGCTGAGATTACAGGCGTGATCCACTGCGCCTGGCTAAGATTGCTTCTTAATTGTAAATAAACAGAAGTCCTTTACTATAAAGCATCATTTTAATCAGTGTGTGTGTTCCTTTAAAGTGGTTTAAAATGTGATTGTGCATGAATAGCCCTAACTTACTACTATGTGGAATAATAACACTGCTGTTCCGTGTGATTCAGCCTGCAGTTAGAATGGCTCCCTAGTACCCTTAGAATGCTTAAGAGTCTCAGGCATTTACAGTTCCAAGAATGTGAAAATAAAGTGAATGATTCATCAGGACTTGTTGCTGGGGCCTGCCATGTTGATATATATCTCTTAGTTGCTTACCTTTTAACTTGTGGGTCACAAACTAGCAGTACTGGAGGGTCCAACCCAGAAGCAGACAGCCTGCAGGAATGCCGGGTTCCCCATCGTCCCACATTAATAGGTTACAGGTTGCTGCAGCAGCACAGGTCATATTTCAGAGCGCAAGACCACATTTTCAAGAATGTTTAGATAGCATTTCAATCTGTGATGGAATTTTGTATTCGTCTCCTTAGAATCCAGACAGAAAGGAAGCCCAGAAGAAATAATTGCTTTTCCTGTCATCCCCCCATCTGTCTCTTCCAACAGTTTGTAATGCAAGCTGAAGGAGAGGCTTTTTTTTTTTTCCAGGGAGCTTTTGGGTCCCATCCTTGTCAACTCCTTGGGATGAAAGCCTTATTCTCCAGCGTTGGCTGGCTGGTGATTTGCTAAAAGGAGTCTCTATTTGACTGGCATAGGCTTGAGAGAATTATGGATGTTCCAAAATAAGGAGTTTTATAGGTCAAGAGGCCCCACATCCCGCATTCCCTGGAACAGAGGAAAAGTTTGCTTTCAGAACTTGTTTCCTAAGCTTCTGAGAACACTCA